AACAATGAAGGTAAGAAAACATGGAAGTATGAAGTTAATATGATCTTATGTGATTAGTTCTTCTTAGTGTTCCTTCTTTTTGTAAAAAATTCAACTTTCTTTCATCTCTGTTCAAGAAAATGATGAACTGCTCGCTTTCCCAACCACAAAACTTTCCAACTTTATGCGGGACTCCAATTACAAACGCTCACCAGAACCAAGACCCTCCACCCAGGCCCGGCAGCTCCTTGATTAACAGTATTCCCTCTTCTTCGCAATCATTTCACCTCAGCATCATTTCTGTTGCAGATGATGATGAAACGCTCACCATTACATCAGGCCTACTAGCTCGAAAATACAGCTACATCCTCACACTCTTCCAAACGTAGATGTTCTGATAAATGATTCAAATACAATACAATCTGTTTTTTTATGTATTAAGTGTTGTTAATTTTCCCAATAATTTCCTCCTTCACCTACCAAAACTACCGGCGGTTGTGGCAGCATTGGTTTCTTATTTTTAATATATATTTAATAAAATTTAGTTGATATTAAATAGTAACAAAAAAAAAAAATAATTTTAATAAATTGTCAGATTTCGACCAGAGGCGACCATGATAGCGCGCGGCAAAGTTGAAATTCGGATTCTGCACGCCTGAAAACATAGAGATCAGTCATAAAACCTAAACCCGGGATTTTTTCTCGCCTAAACTACAAATTTCCTGGACTTTTAAAGTATTATTATGTTGTACAGAACAGTCCATATTAATCATAGTGTAATCACAACATTTGGCGACGAGGATTTGAGAAAATCAGCTACCTACCATGGAAGAAGAATTTCAGCAAGCATTATTGAACTTCATAGAAGTAGGTACAGCAGCAGCAATAGCAGGCGTTCTTTATAAAAATGACCGGTGTTTTTGGAAAAGCCACCTCAACAAAAGATCGTTTTTTTCAATTCTAAGGGGACACGTCAATTTTCTCAGTCTGCAAGTTCAAGCCAATCTAGAAGTCATCAGTCATCAGTCGAACAATAATAGAAGTCAGCAAGAAAATGAAAAGATGATTCCGAAGAGTACATGCTGGAACTGCGGAAAATTTAATTTTTCACGATTTTGCCAATTCAAAAAACATAAGTGTACAAAATGCAATAGATTTTTACACAGAGATGGATTTTGCAGATTTCAAATGAAAAATATGAATTGAATACCATTGACTCCCTGTAAGATCGTAAGTACATTACATTATTACTAAATAGCACTTCAGTGCAGTTGCAAATAGATACTGGCTCAGATCTTACCCTGATATCCGAAAATACATGGGCTGATTGATCTAGGAAAACCAAAATTCCCACAACTAATCATAAGGCAAAAAATGCATCTGGGGAATATCTCACTATTTTATCAGAATTAACTTGCAATATTTCGTTCAAAAGGAATTCATACCTATACAGGAACATATTTTGTCACATGTATCGGGAATCTCAATTTATTGGGAATCGATTGGATTATGGAATTAAATTTACTCAATCTGCAATAATAACACAATTGATTATTTAATTAAAGATATAAGTAACTTGTTTCTTATTTAAATCAAATTTTCTCAAGTTATTTGAAGACGCTCTCGGAGAATGCACGAAACTCAAAGTAGATTTTTTTATTCACAAAGGAGTGAAGACAGTGTTCTGTCCCAAAATGGGAAACTTAGAAGATTGAAAATTTTGTCCATCATATCCAAAGTGGAATATTCTGACTGGGAGGCACCATTATTTGTTTCCAGAAAGACTACCTAATGGAAATGTGAGAATTTGTGGGGATTATTCTACTGGATTGAATCAGGCATTAAAATCACATCATTATCCATTAACAACTGCTGAAGACATATTTTCCAAACTTGCGAACGCCACTGTATTCAGCACTGTAAATCTTTAAAATGCCTTTTGGTATCAAAATAGCACCGTCTATTTTCCAACAGATTATGTATAGGTATATGATAGCAGGATTACAAGGTACTGCAGCATATATATCGATGACATTCTGGTTTCTGGACTGAATTCTGATGAATATCATCGAAACCTTTGTAATGTTCTCAAACGAATTGAAAATTCTGACTTTCATATCAAAGTTGAGAAATTTATGTTCGAGGTTAAAGAAATTCGATATTTTGGGACATATTTTGAATACGCAAGGTATAAACCCAGACCCGTTAAAAACAGGAGCTATTTCAGCGAATAGCAAATGCCATCTCCTCACGATGTTTCATCGTTGAGATAATTTCTTGTCATAAATTACTATGGAAAATTCATCAAGAGAATTAATACTTTGAGAAACCCATTGGATAAGATTTTGAAGAAAAACGAGAAATTTAAATGGCCAGAAGACTGTCAGAGGTCATTCAAACAGTTTAAATTCTTCAGTCAAATCTTCTACTTACTCACTACAATCCACAACAACAGATCAGTGTAGCACCAGACTCAAGGAATCTGGGTATTGGAGGATTTATTTTTCATAGGCTTGAAGATGGAACAGAAAAAACGATCTAGAACTATGACAGATACAAAGAAAAGATACAGCCAAATTGAAAAAGAGGCTTTAGTATTAGTTTCTGCAGTTAAGAAATGTCACAAGATGATATAAGTACGCAAGATTTTCCATTTAACAAATTAATCGCGAACCATTGTTCGCAGTTTTTGAAACAAAAAAAGGAGTTCCTCGATATACAGGAAACAGATTGCAGAGATGGGCTCTAATGTTGGAAGCATACGATTTCAAAATTGAATATATCAAAACCACAGAGTTTGGCCGTGCAGATGTTTTGTCAAGATTCATGAATAGCAATATGGATGTTGTAGATGAGAGAGAAGATACAGTAATTGCTTCTATGCAAATCTACCTCAATGATGCAAGTCGAGTCGGAGGTTTGTCATATTTTTGATGAAACTCTGAGATCATTATTACCAATCACGTTCAAAAATATTTATCAGGAAACACGAGACATTGGGTACATTCAGGCGGTCCCAGCTGCTTAGCTCAGCCTCTCAGCAGGAACTTTATTCTCGAAACCAAGGAACAGCATTATCATTGGAACTAAGATTCTGTCTTTGTCGTCCGTCATAACACTGACAATGACAGAGTAATCGTTCTTATGAGAACGCTGTTCCTTGGTTTCGAGAATAAAGTTCCTGTTGAGAGGCTGAGCTAAGCCGCTGGGACCGCCTGAATGTACCCAATGTGTTAAGCAATATTTTACACTAAGTTCAATATTCATGGTTTTACAAAAATCAACAAAATGCAAATGCAATGAAGTTTTATATGTATAGTATGAGGATGTTTGATATTTGGAAGCCGAATGGTAGTTCCAAAAGTTCATTGTTATCAAGTACTCATACAGTTACACCAAGAGCACCCAGAACAAGCTCGTATGAAATCAATAGCAAGAAGTTATGTTTACTGGCCCAACGTTGATGATGACATCACAAAATTTGCTCAAAATTACTCTTCATGTGCAGAAGCTGCAAGGATACCAAGAAAAGAGATATCACCTTGGCTTGTTGCGTGGAATGCTTGGGAGATCACATAGACTATGCAGGTTCTGCGAATGGAAATTATTATTTGTTAATCATAGATGCCAGAAGTTTTCACAACAAGAAATATAATTTCAAGATTCGATTGTATCTGATAATGGTTCACAATTTACTAGTGAATATTTTCAGAATTATTGTTCAAAGAAGGGCATTCAACATATTTGTATAGCTCCATATTTACCACAATCCGGTGGTCAAGCTGAAAGATTTATTAATACATTGAAAAGAACATTGATGAAAATAAAAAAGGAGGAACAACCAGAGAAAGAACATAGCTGAACTTATTGGGAAGAAAAATGCGGATAGTAATGGATTTGCTGAGGCCACAAGACAAATCAGTTAGTCAATTAGTATATGCAAAATTATTTAGAAGAAATTCTTATATTTGGATGACGGGGGTAATCATTGAAAAAATCAACCATGCCATTTGTTATTGGATACATTCAAAATAAATATACCAAATCATGACCCACAAATAGGAAATAGAAATGAATATGGTGAAAATTCATCAATTCATTTTACTCCAACATTTCCTCAAAAATTCGGAAAATCAACAGTGATAATAACTCAGGTCTTAAAATCCGAAGATTTCAAGATCCAAAACATTTAAATAACATCTTAATACGTGAATTTAGGAACATCGGAATCAGAACTTTCTAAATGGAATTAGGTAGTCCCTAAAATAATCATCACTAACTCAAAATTTTAGGTGAAGGATCCTCCAGATAGGTTTTGATAACAGTGAGAAAAGCCTAAGCCGTCAATTTTCTCTTCACATTTAAGTATACCTACGTTCTTTTAGATTAAGGATTATTAGAAATTCTAATTTATTTATCAAGTTTTTCATTTATCATTAGGCCCAATTTATAAGTTTTCTATAATTACAAAATTAATGTAGCTTCCACGCTTTTAAAATACTTATTCTGTTTCAATAAAAACCTTCTCACAATATTTAGGAAACCAACTGCTGTTTAGAAGGATTTTGATAAAATGTAAGAAAGTAGAACGCGATGGCGTCAATATGCCTAATACTAATTGAGCTTAAAGCTTAGAAGCTTTAGTATGTTTTTTTCTGCTGATAGTTTATGATAACAAAAATTATAAGTATGTGGTACTTTTACGGAAGGTAATTTGCAAGTTTAGGTGGCGTGAATATAGGAATGGGTGATAAAACCACGGTTTCGTCCGAGAGATAAGTCACTCCTTAAGACTGTCATCATAATTTGAAGAATTTGTGATACTTCACTGCTTCAATACTTAAGTCATATTGACTCAAAAGTCGACGAAAACAGAATTAATTCTTCACCGAAAATCCTCTCCATTATATACTTTTATGGATTGAGGATTGAGTTAATTTGAACATGATTTTGTTCATTTTATTGTTGGTGTCTCGTCTAGGGAGCTTAGAGAAAGTCCCAATAAATTGAACGAGTTAACTTTACTAAGATGACCTGCAAAAAAGTTTTATATTCTAATAATTTCCATACAAAACAAAGAGAACATCTATGAAAATGAATGATCTTGAAACTAATAAGTCGTCATTTCGGTCTCATCGCCAAACGTGCTCCACACTTCCGAATAATATTCAAAAATTTCTTGTTTTGGATTCACATCAACTACCATGGACTGGTTCAGCCACACGTAATCGAGATTTGAAGCTGACGCATTGACAGAGGGCCAGATTGTGTTGTTAAAAGCTGAATCTTCAATCGGAGTTGGATTGCTATAAAAATTATTCAATTATATGAGTACAAAAAATATAGGTATTTTACTTGCCCGTATTTAACAAAATTACTATAAAGCTTCACCAACATTTCAGAAACTTGAACGTCAGTTTTGGTATTATTATCATAAGATCTGAATACATATTGTAAATCTCCACCATGTCCGACACCAGTATCGGATTCTGTTGCACCTAATGCAGGATCTGTATATCCAAAAATGTAGAAGAACGCATTGACATGTTGGGACATTAATGTGCAAGCTTGTCTTATTGGCCTAAAGAATTGATCTGCTGACACAAACTACATAGATTTGTTTTTTAATAGTGTAGTACTAAAACGCGGATTAAAATTCTTACGTTGATAAGTTTTTCAGCTGATGTAGGTATAGGAAGTAGGCCAAAAAAGTGTAATTTTATATATTCTCCTGCTGCCAGTCGCTTAACACTATCCTTTGTCATGCTATATGGAGTCAAATAAGACACCACGACGTCATAGTAAAGCAAATATAATTTCAACAGAACTACAAAACAATTATTTCCTTTTGCAATGATAATAAACAATGATTCTTACAAGGAACTTCGGTAAACACAGCAGCCTCGTTACTATTCATCCCCATTAAGACGGGGACTTTTGAGAAATTTCCTTGACTTAAAGAAAATTCGCTGGGGTCCTTTAGAACAGCCCCTTCTATATTTGGTTCCATGACGGGGGCCCAGGGGAGACCTCTGAGAGCGTTAGTTAAGAAAAGCTAGAAGAATTAATTATTTCTAAATGTATCAGTAGAACAAGAAGAAAAGTACAAATTGGTAGCATTTGGACTTTTTTTCTTTTAAAACGATTCCAGATATTCAACCATTATCTTGTAAAATATACAGGGTGTGGCAGAATAGACTCCCACGTTCTACAAGGTCACTGACGTGGCGCAGGTAGAGGGGTGCGCGACGTCCCATTCGCTCGGGAGGGGAATAAAGTTTTTAGTAGTCAACATCCGCGTGGTCGGGTGATGGGTGAACACCCCGAGGCTTCGTCATCGTGGAAGCATTTTACACACACCTGCTCCTGCTCGGAAAACGATTTTGAAATGGATCGAAAGTTAAAGAAGAATGGGATTTGCAAATCCTAAAATACCAGCTGGGCGTAAGGACACCCGGAAACGTCGTTGCAATCAGCGTCAATGGAAAAGTCTCCAACGCGTTCCTCTCGCAGGTAGAGGGGTGCGCGACGTCCCATTTGCTCGGGAGGGGAATAAAGTTTTTAGTAGTCAACATCCGCGTGGTCGGGTGATGGGTGAACACCCCGAGGCTTCGTCATCGTGGAAGCATTTTACACACACCTGCTCCTGCTCGGAAAACGATTTTGAAATGGATCGAAAGTTAAAGAAGAATGGGATTTGCAAATACCAGCTGGGCGATAGGACACCCGGAAACGTCGTTGCAATCAGAGCGTCACGTCAATGGAAAAGTCTCCAACGCGTTCCGCTCGAAAACATGGCTCGGCACTTCAGATATCGGAGAGAACACTCAGACAGACGATGTTTGCACACTGACTCTTATAAGATCTGTATAGCTCAAAAATTGAGCCCAGAAGATTTGGGAAGACGTAGAGACTGCTGTAATGCGAACCTTACAATAGTGCATTTTTAGGTACCTTACTTTTTTGAAGAACTGTGACAGCCAAGCGGTATACTGTCATATGTTGGAGAACTTTTCACGCCCCAGAATAGAAAAGCACAATGCAGCCGCATCATGGTTCCAACACGATGGAGCCACAACCCATATAGCTCGTCGTTGTCGTGCCATTTTGCAATTGAAGTTCCCTGGTCGAGTGATCTCCTTACGAGAAGCCGTTGATTGGCCCCCTCGCTCCCCTGACTTCTGTATCTGTAAGTTTCGGAGGGTGGTATGCCACAGCACTTAGGCCAGAGTAGGCCCATTATGCGCCTCCACAAAATGGGAGGTCTTTCTTAGCTAGTCATCCAGCCTAGCCCAGCAGTTCCTTGGATAATTTGCAGCCAATCGTATCGTCCCAGCACTTTTTGGAAAGGGCGTGGGAGTATTTTTTGATCATATCTTTGGTCGCTGACATGGTCAGCTCTACGAAGGGCCAGAAGGCTGATGTAGCCTGGCCAGAGCATTGGTAGCCTGGGCTGGGACTCTGCAACTGTAATGTACGCGCTTAACACTTTATTGTAAACGTAACATAAGGCACCCTTCCAGTCATCATCCGATGGGTGACATATTGAGTGGTGGGCTAAAACCAGTCTTTCAATGTTGTGTACAGGGTTATTGGTTATAAATGTCACCCCCTCTATCTTTTTTATTTGACATTTTAGAAAAAAGTGTCCCAAATAAAAGTTTTAGAGCTGTATGCAACATCCTCTTTTAACTTAAAAGCGCTTTTTAAAACTGGTACCTTTAAAAATTTGTATGACTTAGAATACACATTTTTAAAAGTGACCAGTTTTAAAAAGCGCTTTTAAGTTAAAAGAGGATGTTGCATACAGCTGGTAGGGTTAAAATTAAATTTTTTTAAAAACTCACTTTCGCATATACAGGGTGTTTCAGAAAAGCTGGTCGCCCTACTTTCTTATTTTGAATGGAATACCCTGCATATTATTGAATATTCGAATTCTACATAGAATTCTAAACAGATTTTATTTGATATACCCTATACCTAAGTTCAACTGTTTTGGAAATATTGACAGTTGAAAATTGACTTTTTTGCAAACTTGACAGGCTGTAAAGCCTAAACGGTTAACGTTTGAGCAAAACCGATCTTACATTTTTTTCTTAGATTCTCATAAGCTATCATTTGACACCAACATTGAATTTAATCGGAGATTAAATTTGATTTGAATTTTTAATCATGGATTAAATGCAAAGTTGGTGTCAAATATTAGTGTCAACTGATAGCTAATGAAAATCTAAGATCTAAAATTAACCGTGTAGGTTTTACAGCCTGTCAAAGTTGCAAAAAAGTCAATTTTCAACTGTCAATATTTCCAAAACAGTTGAACTTAGGTATAGAGTATATCACATGACATCTGCTCAGAATTTTATGTAGAATCCGAATGTTCAATAATATACAGGGTATTCTATTTACCATAAGAAAGTTGGAGCATGACCAGGTTTTCTGAAACACCCTGTATATGAAAAAGTGAGTTTTTCAAAAAATTTAATTTCAACCATAAAACTTTTAATTGGGACACTTTTTTCTAAAATGTCAAATAAAAAAGATAGAGGCGGGTGACATTTATAACCAATAACCCTGTACCTAAATACACAATAGTTTGGCGACGAGGCAGGAGTCTGCCATAAGCACAGTGAAAGATGTCATTCATGGGCTCCATAGAACATTTTAATGTGAGTGAAGGCGATTTCGAGTCTTATAGGGAGCGGATGGAGCAATTATTCAAGGTAAATAATACAAATGGCGAAGACAAAGGTCCTCTATTTATAACTTTGATTGGCTCAGACGCTTACAAGTTATTAAAAAGTCTAATGCGGCCTGAAAGCCCTACGTCAAAATCCTTTACGGATATGTTGGTTATTCTAGAAAAACATTTTACACCACAAGTATCAGTAATCGCTGAAAGGTACAAGTTCAATAGCAGGAATCAGAAACCAAATGAGTCGGTGACTGATTATATGTTCAGTTGAAAACCTTGTCAGCTTCATGTGAATATGGAAGCTTCCTTGACCAGGCTCTAAGAGATCGCTTTGTTTGTGGTATTCGATGTGAGTCAGTCGTACAGAGATTATTGACGCATGACAATTCACTAAAATTTGAAGAAGCTTGTAAAGAGGCACTAAATTATGAAATGTCAACTATACAATCAAAATTAGTCTTTCCACAAAGTAGTGTCCATCAAGTTAAGTCACAAAGCATGTCAGCATCAGCAGTGGAAAAAAAACAATCAAAGTTCAGTCAGCGTCCAAGTACAAGCCAGTCAAAACCGTCCACAAAATAAGGTAAACTGTAACCAAAACAATCAAGCACAACGTGGTTGTTTTCGGAGTGGAAGACAGCACAATCCGGATACATGTACTGCAAAAAACTGGAAATGTTTTTTTATATGTAAACGCAAAGGTCACACGTCCAGGTGCTGCAGACAGAGGTCGAGAGGAGTCAAATATGCTGTAAAACAAGAAAATTCAGAGTTTGAAGAGAAATATAATGACCAATGTTCTAATTTGAATCTCCAAGAATATGTGACAATAAATAGAATTTCAAGTGAATGTGTAGTCGTTCAGGTCAGTGTCGAAAACAAAAACATTGAAGTAAACCGACACAGGAGCCAGTATAAGTGTGATTTCTTAACAAGATTATGAAAAGTATCTTGGTCATTTAGCATTATCTACTAGCAATTTATCAATAAATACTGCATCAGGGGATAAATTGTTACGACTGGTTTATACTTCCAAAATTAAGAATTAAACTAAACTAAGAAATAAATTGAAAATTAAATTAATCTTAACTTTAAAAATGCAGTTTATACATAAAATTAAGAATTATGGATTTTCTGAAATTAGCTAGCTCTTTACGTAATCACAAATGACAGAAAGGAACATTGAAATAAACAAAAACCAGCTAAATAGATCGATCTCCTTAATTTTTAATTCTTAGTTGAAAGTTATGCCTGGTTTATACTTCTGAATTAAGAATTAAACTAAACTAAGAATTAAACTAAATTAAAAATTTAAATGTTAAACGTCCATAATTTGATGCTGTCGTTTATACCTCAAATTAAAAAATTAAATTAAATTAAATTAAATTGAAAGTTGGCTAACTTTCAACTAAGAATTAAAAATTAAGGAGATCGATCTATTTAGCTGGTTTTTGTTTATTTCAATGTTCCTTTCTGTCATTTCTGATTACGTAAAGAGCTAGCTAATTTCAGAAAATCCATAATTCTTAATTTTAAGTATAAACTGCATTTTTAAAGTTTAGTTTAATTTAAATTTCAATTTATTTCTTAGTTTAGTTTAATTCTTAATTTTGCAAGTATAAACCAGTCATAAACCAGGCATTAGTCAGGGGTTAAATTATTGTCAAAGTCAAGCTAAATAATGAAAATATTGATTGTTTACCACACCACTAATTGTAGTCAAAAGTGGTAAATCTTTTAAACCATTATTGGGTAGAAATTGGTTAGACAAGCTTAAGCCAGCTTGGAGGTCAATGATTAATTTCAGTCAAAATGACGAAAATTTTAGCTTAGAATCTAAGGCAAAGAAAAAAAATTATAATTGTTTTTTGGCTCAATTCCAAATGTCACTAATATTAGTCATGGTCGGTCGATTCCAATAAGTCAAGGTCCTGGTCTTGAAACTGAGTCAGCTTATCAGAGCCAATCAAAAATAAGCCATAGTCAGGTGACAAATATTAAGTCAAGGAGTCAGTCGGTAAGCTCAAACTAAGGTAGTGGGGAAAATGTCCTTGATGGTCAGAATGAGTCCCTTATGCATACAGGATGTCAGGTTATGTCAAAAATTGAACCATTATTAGTCAAAAGTTCCTTAAATACTTAGTGTAAATTTGTCGAGGAATGAGTCGAATTCCATTCTAAGTCTTGTGGAAATCCAGATTACATAAAAAAAATTTGAGAAGTCTTATCCAAATGTTTTTAATAGGGATAGAAAAAGTCATTTTATAGGTTTTGTCGGTTTTGAAGCTAATTTGGTAGTTAAATAAAATTGAAACAAGATTTTTCATAAGGCTTATTTTGTACCCTATTCTTTACGAGAA